AGCATTATGGGCTTTGAAAATAGCATGTATGCAATGGGGCAGTTACCACCTTCAGGAGCTTCAACAGTTCCTTGTTGTTGGCCATGGCTGATGGCAGGGTGACTTGCACCTATGCATACACAACAACAAAAACTGTAAAAACCAGACACTTACTTTATCACATACACATACACAATGACTACATGTTTGACCTACCAATACTTAGTTTATCATGTACACCTTCATGATCTGGAAAATCAGAACTTTGCTTGTTTTGTGTAAGTGCTCCTCTGAACACCCTCAAACTGCACCTTGCTTTGAATGAACTTTGGAAGCAGAACAAGGAATCACAGATCAAGGCAGGCTGGACACCAGTTGAGGTCCAGTGGCATGTGGTTCATGATGAAGGGGAGGTGAAAGAAAGACAACAAAGGTGCCCGGCCGAAGCGGCCCAACCGGCCCCCGTAGGGAGAGGGGATGACAGCCGCCTGTTCCCTGACCAAGCCCGAAATTCACTGGACTGGCCATCAGACTGGACTTGAACTGGATGATTGATTGGGGGGGGGGATAAGGTGAAAAGAATGAAATAAATGATAAAAACACAACACATGTTGGCCTCATGTGCAACTTCTTTTAATGGTCTGCCTGGGCACCAATGGGCAGAGTACTGTAATTAAAGTCGGCGTGAATGAGTAATGTCCTACTTAATTTATATTCATTTCTTCCTCAATTACGACACCTTTTTTATTCTAAGCGCATTTCTTATGAATGTCCCACAGAGAGTGCAACCAAGGAGGAGCTCAAGGCGTTCTTCGTAGAAAAGTACAAACAGATCTTCACCGTCCTGCTCACTCGATTTGCCGATCTTGAGTCCTCCCAGAAGAAGGGTGCGTACACTTCCTCTGCCATGCCTGCTACTTTGTACCTTGGCACCACCCTATTCACGCACGAACCTGTGGCGCTGGTGCGTGGGTGGTATGTGGTGCGTGCGTTGGTGCGTGTCGTGGTGGTGGCGGTGACGTAGTCGCTGTTCCTGGTGTGGATCAGGTCGGAGGTGACCACGGAGGCCATGTGGCAGGACTTCAACGCCAAGCTGGCGACGCTGGTCAACTGGAAGGCCACGCTCACGCAGTGGGAGGAGAAGGTGCTCCAGCTGACCTACATCCTGATCGAGAACACCTACCCCAAGCCCATGGTGCCCGAGCCCAAGAAGAAGAAGGGCAACGTCGCCAAGGAGTCCGAGGACAACAAGGAGAAGGAGCCCAAGGCCACCACCGGCGGTGGCGACGATAAGAAGAGGCAGTCCGACAGGCCATGCTCACCTCCTCATCCTCCACCAGCATCGGCTCCACCACCCCCATGCAGTTCGTCAAACACTCACATCTCCACCACCACCATGCATTCCTCACACTTTCCTTGCGTTGGTTACAATGACAGGCCGAGGGATGCGCGCCTCACGTCCATGACGTGGAACCAGCTGAAGATCCAGACCATGTGGGACATCACCCTGCGTACGTCATATTATAAATACTTATAATATAAATATATATAGAATATATATATATAAAAGAAAAATATGCGCGAATAAATCCTTGAGGCTGATGCTTGGAGTGTTGATGGTCTACAGACATTCTGGGCAATCTGTGCGACATCAAGGACCCGCCCAATTTTTCCACCGCTATTAGCTGCGTCAGCCAGGTATGATTCTTCTTTTTGCAGCCCAACCCGGCACGCAGCGCAGTGATCCCCATCAGCTGACGTGCGATTTTCCTGTGCTGATGCCGCTGTTGCTGTTTGCAAAGGTGGTCGACCTCATGTGCGAAGCCGAGGACAGGCTGGAGATCACCGCCAAGGCGCCCATTCCCCTGCAGCAGATCTTTCTCCCCTGGATTCTCAAAGCCGTCAAGGCCACTCACAAGCCGCTCAAGGAAAAAGGTTCACTGATTGCTTTTCTCCTTGATAACTTAACTACGCAACATGATCAAATGCGGGGGACCCTTTCATGAGCTTGACTGCGACTGACTGCAAGGCTCGATTGATAGAGAGCGCGACGGCGATGCATTTCTACACGCTGCTGGACGGGCTCATGGCGATCGGCCACTCGGCAGTGCTCGAGCTGCCGGCCAACGTCGTCCACAAGGTCTTCCGCGCCCTCGAGTTCAGTCTCCTCGGCGATGAGGTAATGAGCGCCCCCCTGGCTTTGCCACCATTACCAACACATTCCACACACGTGGAACGTGTGGGCGTTGTAGGTGGATTGCATTAGTGGAATGTGAGATTCAGCTGGGCAACCCGCTGGCGGCGCTGGCCTCGCATTCGTCCAGCTTTGCGGGTCTGGCGGTCTCAACCATCACC